CTTTCCTGTCTCTGAAGTCCTTCCTTTTCGTCCCTTGAGCCCTTCTTGTTGAGTGTCTTCATGCCCCCTCTCATCCGTTACTTGTGCAATGGAGAAGGCTACATCAGCCAGCCCGGCGTTGGCTTTCTAACTCAGTATTGCACTTGGTAGGGTTGCTGGGGCTGCTGCTAGGCCACAGCCCCAGGCGGGGCGGAGGGGCAGATGACCTGCTGTACCTCCAGCTGGGCTGGAGATGACCGCTCCCACTGGGGACGACAGCGGGCCTCCCCTGCAAAAAGTGTGCTGTACTCGAAGCAGAGCAGTCACACACAGATGGCCATGGTTGGAATTGTTTGCCAAAGAAATTTCTGGCCTTTCTCTTTCCCTTAACTGCATCAGGGAAGAATCCTTATCTCTGGCTTGGTTTCCACATGAGGTGGTTTTGAGGAAGGGGACTGGGACAAGAAATCTGCCATGTAGTTAAGTAGGCAAGAAATCTTATTAATCCAGTTGTGTTTGAAAGTTGCTTGTCCATATGATTTTTTTAAAGTCGTTTAGTTTCACAACTTTTTTTTTTTCCTGAAATTACTTTTGGGGTAATATTTAAAATGAGCGACATTTTGTAACCCTGTAAAATACATAGGGAATATAACATTCCAGTGTACACAAAGAAGGAAAATTCTTTAATCAAATAAAGAGTATTATAAAATGAATGTTTATTAGACTCTTGGCTCTCATACTTTGGTGTCTCCTTGCTGATTCAAGATGATGTAACGGGATCTAAGTTTAAAAATTAATGATATGTTTTTTTTAAGAGCAAAGCATCTCTATCCGAAAGTATTCATTGCCTTCCCCCACCTTACAGGGATCGTGCCTCCATGTGTATTCTCCATCGGAGCGCACACACACGTACACGTACACATGTACTCTGGTCCGTGGAGTTTTTTAATTTGATGCTACTTACGGACTTTTGGTCTTAATTTTTTGTCAGGGGCAGTTGTAGAGTCAGAACCATGAGGCTTCATCTGTAAAGAATAACAGTGATCGGTGATGTCTCAGAGCATTCTCTTCCCCATTAGAGCAACAGTGGTAAGAAAGTGATCCCGGGGTGAGGGATGGATGGATGCTTGGGGAGTTTTGATAATTCCCTCAGGAAAGTCTTCATCCTTACTTTCTTTTTATGTAACTTAAAAAACTATTGACTGTCAACAAATTCTTTGGAAGACAAATTACTTTCTGTAATGAATAACGAGTGTCTGGGAATGATAAAGCTTTTTATCTTCAGGGTGAAAGCCAAGAGTTTGAATTTTTTTCTTCCTTAAGAGAAATACGAAGTCTCTGGTCTGTTGCTGAAGCGTGGCGTGGCTCTCTGAGACTGTAACCCTAACCCGGGGGAGCGCGCCGGAGCCGTGCCACGCCCCTGACTGGCACTGGTCCCTCCACCGCACCAAGTGGACCTTTTGTTGGCCTCTCGTGAGGGAGCCGAACAAAATAATTAGATCTGACTGAGCATTCTGGTTAATGTAGGAGGTTTGTGGTTCCTGCTTTGAATTAATTAATTCCACACAGGAGGTAGGGAACACACCTCGTGGTCAGGAATTCCTTTCCAAAAAAGATCTGTAATTCATCTACTCACAGTAGTTTCAGACCCCCCGGATCTATCAACCCATGCATCTCTGACTCCGGAAGCTTTGCCCTCCAGTTAATGTGAAGTTGTTCACAGAGTAGCTTCTGAGAGATTTCCAGGCTTGGTACAGAGTAGCTTTTTAAAAAAAGTTCACATCTGGTTGGGCTCATTGAAGGAAGATAGAAAAATAGAAAAAGTCGCCATCCTCAAGAAGATGAAAGTCTACCTAGAAGCAATGGCTACCTACTTTATAAAGCCTTTTCTCCTCAGGTAGACAACTGTTAACTACGGCTGGTGCTAGTGCGAGTCTCGGTGAGGGTGAGGAATAAGTAGGGGTCTGTCTTGTAGGCTTCAGAGCAATCTCTCAAAGGAAAGCAAAAACTCCGAATTAACTCCCCTTTACTATGCACATCTCATTGCAACCATTCTCTCCCTCCATTTCCTCTTTTTGCCCCCTTTGGTAAATCTATTTGCTGCTATAGAGCTTTGAAACTCCTAGAGGCTCCACAAGTAACTGGGTGCTGTACATCGCTCTTACCTAAGGTTAGAAAGCCTCTCTACAAGCATCAGTCTCCCATCTTACCCTCGGGAGTTAGAGGTTTACGTGGAGCCAGACCTTTAGGAAGACTATACCTTTCCAAACTAAGCTGTTGCCCACTCTCAAACACAAGCGATCTAGCAACAAAGCAGTTTTCAGAAGCTTGGGTCACTTCCCACTCCTCCACCCCCCACAGACAGAAAGATTTTTTGCCTTGCTGTTCATAGGGCAGGGGCTAAATGGCTACTTAGGGCTTAGCCCATTTCTCGAAAGCTCCCATAAGCGTACTCTCTGTGATCAGGTTGATAACCAAACGGGCTGGTTGAGAAATAGGCGTTACAATTTCAAGGCAATGAGGGAAGTGGAGATAGGTTTTGTTTCCCATTCTCTTGCCCAAATCAGTGGTGGTTCTTTTCAGCTCATAGGAAGGTCCTGAGCCTACACGGATGTAGATGAGACCAGTCTTCCCCCAGTACCCAAACTGCCCACTCAGCTTTGGTGTCTCTTAGCTTTGGGTCTGAGCATGGATTGTGCAATTTCTAGGACAAGCCGAGGAGAGACCTCCTGCTGGAGAAAGGTTTGAACATTTCCCCAAGTTGGATGCAGGGAGGAGTTACTTGGCGTCATTGCTGTCACCACACCTACGCTAATGACGCCTGAGTTCAGGATCCGCAGAGGCCAGAAAGGAGAGCTTTAGATGTGACTGTGCAGGGTTCGCTTGCTGTAATGAGCAATAATCGCCTCCCTCTGGGGCTAGGGGGAGCACAGAGGTGGGAAGAGTGCCTAGGCAAAGGCAGGAGGGATGTGGAAATAGACTCCTGACATTCATAGCCAAGTGCAGAGGGCCTTCAAAAATCCACTCTTCCTTCCACACCCAGCCTTTGCCCTCTCCCCCCTGCTTCCAGTTCGGAAAGTCTGAAGCATGCTTGGAAAGCTGTTTTCTGCTTTCTTCTCTCTTCCTCCCCCTTTCCTGAGCTCCCAGCTGCTCGACCTCTTGCGTAATTGTGAGAGAGCACTGAGTTTTTTGATGGGCTCCAGATGTGCAGCGGGTGGGGGTGGAGGGTGGGGGCGGTAGGTCTGTAGTCCCCTGAGTGCTCTAACTGTGGGAACATAGGGCCTCAACCCAGCAGGAGTGAGGACACATTGCACAGAGCCTTTATCATGGGGTCAGCTGGTCCCTGGGTGGGAGGACAGAGATGGGTGCTGTTTCGGCCCCCTGCCTCTGCGTCAGCTGCCCTGTGGCGGGCTCGATCATTCCCTGAAATTCCTCCTGACCGAGATGGTAAAGAAGATCTGGGAGTTGTGGAACAGTTATGTGAAAAGACTCTGAGGTACCCCAATCAGAGCCTCTTCCCTCAAATGCTGGGTCTTGGCACGTAGGATGCAATAGTTGGGGTTTTGTTTCTTTTTCTTTTACCAGAATAGTCTCGAAATTACTGTTGTGATCTGCCTCATGAAAGGTGGCCAGAGTCAAAATACCTTCAGGAGCCTCAAACAGTGTGAAGAGAGGAAGAGTAAGAGGCTTCCTCCCATCCCCCAAATCCTGGGGCTTCCTGGTACCCACGATGCCTGCTGGAGCCTTGCTTGTTTGACCTCTGTTAGCCACAGCTGGTAACTGCGAAGTGTCTTTCCCCTCCCCCTTCCCATCCACTGCCTGGCTCCAGTCAGCCCCAGCCTCCAGCCGTGGGGGGGCCCCCCTGCTAACGCTAGCCCTGTCAATGAGTGACCAAAGATTGCTGCAGTTCAGCCTCCTGCTGTTCCAGGGTTAGGGAAAGAAGGCACAAACTAAAGCCACCGAATCAGAACAAGGTATGTCCATCCCAAAGAGGGCAAATTATTTTCTGCTATGTGCCCCAGCTGGAAGCCTTGGGGGCTTTCTGCTCCCTCATTCAGTGAGGAGGAGTCTCGGGGATCCCTCTAGGGCAGGTTAAAGAGGTCCAGCCTAGCTGAGGTCAGCTCCCTAGGGCCTCCCCAGTCAGTCTCCTGGGGCAAGAGCTGGCTTTGCAAGGTAAGGATCCACTGTCCGCCGCGTTGGATTTCGGGGTGGGGGTTGAGATGAATGACTTCAACTAGGCTGTTTCCAGACTCCTCTTGGGTTTTTAGTCCCTCCTTTTCTTCCTTATTAGCCCCCTACTCCTCCAGAGACCCAAACTGCTATAGGATGGTGTACTCAATAGTCTATAGCTTGCACGCGCCCCCCCCCGCCCCCGCCCCGCGTTGTAAGTCAGCAGGTGGTGGTACGGCGGAGCTACATGGATGGGGGCGAGATGATTCAGTTCAGGTTTCTGTGCTTTACACTTCCCAGGGCACTTTAACGTGTCTTCTACCTCTCCTTAGAAAAGTCTGTGAAGCCTGATGTGCAGGGTCATCAACTCCATTTACAGCTCTTCATGGTAGGGCTTGGAATAGGGTGAGGAGGAGGGGTGATGGGGTAAACCTCGGTCCCCTCAGCAGATATTTTCTGGAGATATTGAGACTATGCTGGAGGGCTCTGCCACCAAGAAGTTCACTGGGAGCCACGGAGGACTCAGGCACCTAAGGTTTTAAAAAAGCGGGCGGGCGGGGGGAGAGAGTGAGAAATTGTCAAAAACACCCTTTCAGAAGAGCCTTAAGGCCTAGGGGTGGAGGGTGGTCTAGGGGAGTCCGAAGGGGAGGAGAGGAGGGGGAGGGGTGTGTGTGTTGATGGTAGTAGAGAGCCCAGCTGCAGAGAGGAACAAAGCGGGCGCTGTGCAGGCGGGGGGGGGTCGGGGGGGGAGGTGCTGCTATGGGAAAGGTGGGGGGGGACCTTGGGCTCCAGCTCTACAAGGGCGTCTTCTCTGGCTGTCCTGGCAGGACCGGACGGGGGACGGGGGCGGGACTGGGGGGCGGGACTTCTCGCTCTCCTCCCACTCAGCGGGCTCCCAGGGAAAAGCAACAGTGTCCTCCAGAGCCCGAGGCCGCAGCGGCCGAGCCAGGCGAAGGAACCGGTGTCCCCCTCTCCCCGCGCGAGGTAAGGACGCTCTCTCCCACTAGGCCCGTGGGTCTCGCTGGCTGAGCTGCTGGGACTGGATAAGGGGAAGTCCCAGGGCCTGGCGGAAGCCCTGAGATCAGCTCTGGGCTTGGGGGGGGGGCCAGAAGAAACCGTGGGGGAGGAGGGGGCGCCCCAGGTGAGTGCAGTGGGGTGAGGGGACGGCCGAAAGGGGCTTTGTGGGGACGGGCCCCGCAGCTTTTCCGCCGGCTGCTTGCTTTTGCTCTCCCGAGCCTCTGTCCGCGCAGCCGCCAGAGGGGGCCCTCGCGCTCCTCCCCGGGAGGGACGCTGGTCCTTGCCCCGTCCAGACTCTCCCGCGGGCACCCAGACGGCCGGCCGGGCGGACACTCGCGGGGTCTCGTCCGCCCGCGCCGCGCTCCTCCCACTCTGCGGCCGACGGCAGAACTGAGAGCCCTGCCCCGGGCGAGGGGGCTCCCCTGGGCCATCTCGGCTCCTGTCCCCGGCCAAGTGGCCTGGACGGACGAGGAACGTGTGTGCCCAGTCCAGCCCGGAGGCAATGGGAATCCGGGAGGGACTCTTGGTGTGTTCAGGAGATGGGAGGCGCGTCCGGGGCCTTCCGAGCCCTCCTCCGAGGCCCCGCATCTTTAGGGGTCCGGGAGGCCGGATGGGGCACCTTTAGGGGGGTGAGTCCCAGGTTCTTGCCACGCCCTCCGGGTCCGGATTCGTATCCCTAACGGAGTTCCCCGAGGCGGGGGGCTGAGCCAGCCATCCGGGTTCCTCCGGGATGGGGAAGTGCGGGCGGGCGGACGCGGGCAGCGGGGCCTGGGAGGGGCCGCCGGGCGCGGGGTTGCCGAGGCGCCCGCTGACGCTTCCGCCGGGGCTGGGGCGAGCGGGGGACCTGGCCGGGTGGCCGCGCGGCCCGGCGGGGGACCCAGGGAGCCGGGGCGGGGCTGCATTCTGGGCCCGTTAGCTCAGCCGTCCCGGAGGCTCCCGGGCTGACTCATCGGGCCGTTCGCACACAAACACCAGCTCCCCACCACGTCAGGCATCCCACGCAGCGGACACGCACCGCGCCACGCGCCGGCCCGCCGCGCGCGCGGCCCGGGGCTCGGCTGCCGTCGCACGCGGGGCAGCCTTCCGCACGCCTGGACCTCCGCCCGCAGTCCGCGCGCGCTGCGCTCACGCAGTTCCCGCCCGCACACCCCGTCGCTCACCCCCGCAGCCCTGCGCTCACCCTCGCACCTCCCGAGCACCCTCAGCCCCCCTTCCCGCAGCTGCCCAGCGGGGAGCGGGCGGTGTCGGAGCGGCCGCCCCTTTCCCCGGCCGCGCAAACAAGCGGCTCCTTCTCCCTGACCCGCCAAAGAAAGGCCGCTTGTCCGGCGTCCGCGGCGGGCGGGGCGGCTCAACACTGCGGCCTTGTCCCACCTGGCGGCCCTGGGCAGCACAGGCCCAGGGCCAGCGAGGAGCCTCGCCCTGGCGGCAGTCCCACCCTGCCCGCGACCTCGGAGAGGGGCGCTTTCCAGCACCCCTACTGCTCCCCCATGAGAACCAGAGCCCCACTCTACACTCCCGCCTCTCCCCGGCTCTGCTCCATCGAGCCTCCGCCGCCCGCCTCTCGTCTTTGATCGCTAGCGGCCCCGGCCTGCCCTCAGTCTCCCCTTTTCTTTCCTTCCCCTGGCTCGCCGCCCCTCGGTTTCCCCCTCCACTGCCCTCTGTACGTTCTAGGGCTGCCCCTGGCCGTCGTCCCCTTTACTCGACGACCTGTCTGTCCTGAGTCTCCCCATCTCCTTCTTTGTCCCCCAGGCCCTCCACCTCGCTGTCCCTCCGTCTCCACCCAGCTGTGCGTCCCCCAGGCCTGTTTTCCCATCTTCTTCCCCTTCCTGTCCATCTCCCCAGCTCTCATTTCTCCTCATCCCTCAGTCTCCGTCCTTCATCCCGCCCCCCATCCCTGCGTCTCCCCTTCTCCGCCCGATCCTGCCGCTGACCCCTCATTCCCCCCCCCCCGCTTCTCAAGTTCTCTCCGCCCCGGCCTTTCCACACCCCTCCCCGGCCCCCGCCCTCCGGGCTCCCAGCCTCAGTTTCCTTCCCGTCCGGACTCCTTCCCCTGCCGGCGGCCCTTCCTCGAGGGCGGATGCGCGTCGGGAAAGCGACGGCGGCGGCGGGTAGAGAGGGTCCCAGCTCGACCCCGCAAGCCTCGGGCCGCGGCCATGCGACGCCCGAGGCGAGGTCTCGGCTGGTCCCCCCGGCCGCAGGTGAGGGCTGGAGCGGTCCCGCGGGACCCCGGGGAGCGCCGGGCTAGCGCTCGGGGACTCGCCTGGGACCTTTGGCCGGAGGCCCGATTTGGAGCCTGGACTTCCTCCAGTGCCTGTTGGTTGCAGACCTTTTCGGCCCTTCCTCGGGCCTCCCGTCACCCTAGTTCGGGCGCCGAGACCCCCCGAGCGGTGACTCCGGACACCCACTCTGCGGAGAGGGCTGGGGACGGGCTGATCCCGCGTGGCCTGGGTACGCGCGCGTCCCCGCTGAGCGAGGAGGCCGGAGGGGCCGGGCCTGAGCGGGGTCACACGCAGGAGCCCTGGCCTCGCCCGCCGCGGGGTCCCTCCGTGTTGCATGGCGGCTCCGGGCTCCCAGGCCTCTGCGGCGCTGCTCCGCAGGAGGTGCGGGAGGGCCACGGAGAGCCGGGGCTGACCGCGGCGCCTCCCTCGCCTCCCTCCTTCCTGGGAGCCGGCCTCGCTTCGCAGGGGCCTTTTTTTGGCAGCGGGACTGGGCGGGGCGCTGGGAGAGGGTAATTACTGCCCGGGGTAGTGGGTAGCCCTGTCCGCGGAAGCGGGTTGGCGGGTGAGGGCGCCCCGGGCCCGGGGTGGGATCCAAGGAGAGCGCGCCCCCAGGTGGCGGCGGGGCAGCCCCTTTGTCCGAGCGCCGCTGGGACGCGCCGGTCGGGTGTAGCTTTCCACTGCACCGGGGTTGGGTTTCAGAGCTGGGCCCACAGCCTCGACCCTGCTGTTTCTCCATCTTTTCTTATCTTCTCGGTCTCTCCCCACATCTCCCTCCTTATCATCCCCCTCCTTTCACATGATTGTTTCCTTCTTTTCTCTCCTCTCATTACTCCTGTTCCCCATCAACCTCATTCCTTTACAGTCTTCATCTCCACTTGAAATTCTTTGGTGTAAATAAATGAACACGCCCAAAGCTGCCTCACGGGGTGACAGTGACGAATTTGACAGATAAAGGCGAAGTGACGTGTTCTAGATCCTGAAACCCATACTAATGACTGGCATGTTTATGGTGCTTTGCGCTTCATAGAGGGTCATTGAATATAATAGCGGAATCTCCAATCTTTAAAAAAAACAAAACAAAACAGTTTTATTGGGGCACCTGGGTGGCTTAGTGGGTTAGGTGTCTGCCTTCCGCTGGGGTTGTGATCCTGGGGTTCTGGGATGGAGCCCTGAGTTGGGCTCCTTGCTTGGCAAGGAGTCTGCTTCTCCCTCTCCCTCTGCCCCCCCCGTGCCCCACTCGTGCTCTCTGTTGCTTGCTCTCTCAAGTAAATAAATAAAAATAAAAATAGTTTTATTGAGGTATAACATATATACCATAAAATTCACTTAATTGAAATGCGTGTTCAATGATTTTTACAGTATATTTACAGAGCTGTGCCACCATCACCAGTTTCATTTTAGAACAATTCAGTCACCCCAAAAATAAATCTTGTGCCCATTTATAGTCACTCTCCATCCTACCCTTAGCCACAGGCAAGCACTAATCCAGACAATCTTTTGTGAAAAAGTCATTATTCCACTTTTATAGAGAATGACTTGACACTCAGAGAATTTAAGTAACTTGTCCAATATCTCACAGCTAATAAATAATAAAGTCAGGGTGAGAATTTAAGGCTCTTGCATCCCAGCCTAAAGTTTTCTTTCCACTAAACGGTGATGCCTTTCCTTCACCATTATTTATTGTTTTATTTTCTTACTCCCTCTTTTAGGTAAACTCCCCATTCCCAACCCACTCTTTCACCTCTCTTCCCTCGGAGAATGCTGAGGGATTTCCCTCAGTGGGAGGAAACAGGACAGCAGGCTCTGACCCTGGAAATTCTTCCCCATGGCCAGATCTCCTGGGGAGGTACCAGGCCAGCTTGGAGCTTGGTGTAGGTTAACGGCCTTTGCCTTCCCTCTTCCCAGGCCGAGTTGGGGTGGGCCCCAGGCCCTATTCCGGTTTCTCTTCCGCCAGCTTGGGTGGACACAGTGACGGACATGATGCCGTCCAGGTCCGGAAGGGTGGAAGCTGGGAGGGTAAAATTAGTAACTCTCTATGGCTGAGGCCCTTGGGCCCCACTGCCAGGGTCAGACACTCCTTGGAATGCTGGCTTCTGCCCCCACTTCCTCTCCAAGTCACCCGGCCCTGGTCGAGGGCTAGTAGAGAAAGTGGAGGGAAACCCTGCCTTCCCGGGTCTCCCTCCTACCTTGAGCCAAGCTCTCTCAGCTGTCCCCAGCCCCACTTGAGCAACAAATGGGAAGCTTCGAACCTTAGCAAGATGATCAAGGGATGGGCATGCAGGCACACATGAGTACCCAAAGGTCCCTCACATTTCTCAGGCACTGAAACTGTGAGCCAGGGAAAAAGGGATGGGTGGGAAGAGTTCAAGTTCTGGTTCTGGAATCTACTTTACCCTTGGTTCTAAAGACCTAAGCTTCCTACACCACCAGATCAGATGAAGAACCTTAGAAAACTGTATTCCTGCTATTAGTCACCACTGAGGGGTTTTTTTGCTGATTGTCTGGGGGTGAGACTGCTTTCTGGGGAAGAGAAGGTGTAGGAGTTGAGACATACACAAGGCAGGAATGGTTGAGTTTTTCCTGTGGCGTCTCCTTTAAGCAGACACCCTGTTGAGACCCCTGGGGAGATGGGGTGTGGCGGGGGGAGACAAAGGGAGAGACAGAGCGGGAAGGGCACAGGGAGGGAGCTCCTTCTCAGCCCTGCCTGGGGGGGTCTCTGGCTACCAGTGTCCCTGGGGGAGTTCCTCAACCCGGGCTTCCCTCACTGAGGTAATTTCCCCCACCCTACCTCTGGCTCCAGATGTCTGAGGCTGCTGCCAAAGCCTGGCTCCTGGGTGTCAGAGGCAAGAAAGCAGAGAAATAGAGGCTGGGCCTCTAGGGGTCTTTGGGCTTATGGTGGCAAGGGCCAGGACTGTGTGCTGGGTGTCTGTGTGTGACCGTAGATGAGGCACTGCCCCCCTCCCAAGATCCTGAGCTACCTGCACTTTTTCTTCTGCATAAGCCTGCTGGGAATGAGGGTGACTGGTACTGCCCCCTGCCCCTGAGAACCTGGACGCAGAGCCTACTCATTTCCCTTTCCTCCCCTGGCCTCCCCACCAACACCCGCCTTCTGCTGTGTCCCCAGGAGCTCTGGAGCCCCAGGACCATGGACGCTCTTAACAGGAACCAGGGAGGCCCTGGATGCAAGACGCAAGCAATGGTAAAGGTGAGTAGGGTCAAGGCCAAGGGGAAAGAGGGCTGTTGGAGAGGGTGGGTTTGGCTCCTCTACCCACCTGTGGCCCCAACCCAGGGATGAGAGCCCTTCCCCAGGTCCCAAGCCTATTAACAGCTAAGTCTATCTGAATCAGGTTAATTGGTTCACCCAGAATATACCCTTTGGAAGTCAGGAAGCGGCTTACAGATTGACCCTGGGCTGTGTCCCTCTCCTTGATCCGTGGCCCTGCCCTCCGTTGTGATTTAGTTTCGCGGAGGCAAGCAATGGCCAAAGGGATGGCCACAGACAAGTCTACAGTGACAAGTCTGCATTGGCCCTCCTCTGCAGCACCCCTCCTCCTCCCCAGCACCCGCTTGCTCCCCTCACTTTCTCCTTGTTTCTGTCTTAATAGACAAAAGGGGCAGTTAAGCCAAGACTTGAGATAAATCCAGTGGGACGAGTTAGTGGCCTAGATTCAGATCTCATTACAATTTAGTGTGATAATGCTCCGTGCAAGATTTTGTGCTGAGCCTTTCCGACACCCTCAGAGCCCTTTGGAGCCCTTTGGAGAGGGCAAGTGCCAGAGAGAGTGTCAGGGGGACTGGGTGCTCAGGGTCTGGCCTGAAGTCTCTCATGATGCTCATCCCTCACCCCCACTACCTGCAGAAAGGGCCCTTGGACCTGATTGAGACAGGCAAAGGGCTGAAAGTGCAAACGGACAAACCACATCTGGTGAGCCTGGGCAGTGGGCGGCTCAGCACAGCTATCACCCTTCTGCCTCTGGAGGAAGGTAAGTCTGGAGGGGCGGCTCCCCTGCCACCCCTCTGTCCTTCCAGACATTTCTGCCCCTGATCCCAGGCATGTGCTGGGGCCCTTCTGCCCTTTGTCCGCCATGTTCGCCTCTCCCAGATGCGAGGCAGTGCCACCCCACTTCACCAGCTTGCCCCCCTTGTCCCGGCCCCGCTGGACTGCCTGACCCTCTTTGGTAGATAATCTGGCTCCGGGGCTGCGATTAAAGATCAGTTTAGAAACGAGGAGAGCACTGAAACAGGAGAGTCCATTGCTCTTAGCAACCAGTGTGGCCAAGAAGAGAGGGGCCCCGTTCCAGGGCGATGCCTGGCGTGGGAGCAGGTACCTGTGGAGCATGGAGGGCCGGAGGGCCCCGGGAGTAGGGGCAGACCTCCCAAGATAAGGCCCTGGGCTGGCCCCCTTCCCCGGTGGCTTCTGCCCTGCCTGGCTTCTCCCTGGGCTGCACTTGTTGCCTGGGTGATTCTACATTCCCCGCATTCTCCAAATACCAGTCCCGGGGGCTCTGCCAGGGGGAGCTGTGCAAGCTGCAGCACGGAGGGGAGCGAGGAAGGGTGAGGGTTGCAGGTGCAGGAAGGGGGAGAGAAGAATGAGAGATGGCAGATTTGGAGGAACGGAGTGGGGAGCGGGTCGGAGGAGGAAAAGAACTTGGGGACGAGGAGTTGGAAGGACTAAAGGAAGGTCTGCGGAAAAGAAGTTCCCCTTCTCTGTCCATGGAGCCTGGATGCTCTGTGCCCTCTGGGTCCCCCCATCTGTGAGCCAGAGTTTTCTTCCAGAGTTCCTACCCCTGACCGGCCCCACCAGGCTCAGGGGTCCAAAAGGGGCAGCCGGTAGTAGGCAGCGACCCTTCGTGAAGAAGGAGGTGGGCTCATATTTCCTTTGCTGCCCTCCCGACCCAGCCTCTGACTCAGTTTGCCTTCTGGCTTCAGGGAGGACAGTGATTGGCTCCGCGGCCAGGGACATCTCACTGCAGGGTCCGGGCCTGGCTCCAGAGCACTGCTACATCGAGAACGTGCGGGGCACCCTCACCCTCTACCCTTGTGGCAACGTCTGCAGTATCGATGGGCTCCCTGCCCGGCAGCCCACCCGGCTCACTCAGGGTAAGGCTTGCCGCCCTCCCCCTCCGCACCCCCAGCCAGAGGCGTCGGTCTCTGTTAACAGAAGAGCCTTGGCCAGGGGCTGGGGAAGCCTGCTGTGGAGGTTGCCATGGTAACCGCCGAGGGGCCACACGGAGCCAGTGGGATGCTCAGGTGCCTCTGGACGTGTGCCTCAGGAACATCCCCAATTCCTCTAGCATCCAGATTTGTCTTCAGCCTGCTTTTCTCCTCTGGTCACCTCTCCAGTAGGGGGCCGTTGGGGGGTGGTTCTGATGACCGCATTCAAAGGGCCGGGGGGAGCGGCGGAGTGGTCATTAGCGATGGTTAAGGGAGAGCAGTTGGAGCGACAGTGAGGACAACCCTGGCGTTGTTCCGTGATGCCAAGAGGGAGTCGGTCTGAAAAGACGCAGAGGTGGAGCGGGTGGCCAGTACCCCCCGATGGGGATGGGGCAAAGGTGAGAGCTGAGGACACGTTCACTCCTGGTAAAATGCTGTTGACAGTAGCTTTGGGGTCATGAATATGGTTACCACCCTGTTCCCCAAAGCCACAGGCCATTCCGTTGTGTCAGGTGGCTCTGAAAACTGGGGCTCCTAGTTCCTATGGTGACCGGGCAGTTTAGGGGTCGGCCCAGGTGGCACTTTGACAGACCAGGTGTGTCTGCCCTGGGCACCCATTGATACAATGAATCGTCACATTAGGGGAGTGAGCAAAGCAGGCTTGGGGTAGGGGGTAGAGGTGGGGTTGACGCGAGGCTGGGAACTATGGGCCAAGCCTGGCTCTGAGCGGGAGGACTAACATCCCGCCACTGTTTTCTGGGGACTCTCGCCTCTTCCCGCTGGAAGCTCCTTGGCAGTGGAAATCCCACTCATTCCTTTGTTTCCCTCTGTCCTTCTGTTCACACCCCTTAGGCTCTCTTTAGATGCTACTCCCTTCACAGCCGACCCAGGAGACCCAACCTTGCCCTACTCCTTTTTTCCTGCCCTTGGGAGTGTGAGGGGGACATGTGGCTTTAGGGATGCAGGTCCGCCAGCGGCAGCCGCAGCAAGCGGGCCCTTGCCTCTTCTGGGGCTTCAAGTTGTCTGACTCCAGAGGAGAGGAAGAACCCCCATAAATTGGGACTTTGGCTGTGATGCCATCTGGTTCCTGACAGTCCCTTTCAACCTCCAAGAGAACATCCTCCCCAAGACTTGGGTGTGTGGAAGTGCGCTAGAAGAGCAGCAAGGAAAGGGAGGGGCAGAGTTCAAAGAAGGCTATAGAGAAAGAGCCCAGCCCTTACTCCCCCAGCCCCCGACCCCTCGCATCCATGGGCAAGGACACGTGTCTCGTGAGCAGGGTGGAGGGACGGATGCTCTGTAGGGCCCTCTGGTGCAGTCTTTCCAGAGCATCATTTAGCTCCCTGAGAAGAGGGAGGGCCTGGGTCAAGATGGAATTCTTAGGCATTTCCTGTGGCCCGGGTGACCCCTAACTCTTCCCCAGCCAAGGGCCCACCCTGCCAAGTATGTACCCTCCCACTCTCTTGTGACCCTAAACCCCCTTCCCTTTGGCTCCCTCCCACTCCCATAGCCTCCTTGCCTGGGCTTGCCTGTCTCAGGAGCTTGGCAGCCCCGGGAGGGGTATGCAGAGGCACAAAGGAGCGGGTGTTCTTCTCCCTAGCACTCCTCCTCCCCTGGGCTCCCGGGAGCTGAGACTTTCCTTGTCTCATCTCTGGAGCAAGGCACCAAGCCCAGCCCTGCCTGGCCCCACTCCGGACATTCTTGGGAGTGCGTTTCCCTGGAAACTGGGTGGCTCGGGGGGTGCATGTGCTATCTCCATGTGTCTGTGTAACTGGAGTGTGTTTATAGATCTCCGGATGTGTTTGTGACTCTGGGCTAGTGTATCGCTGTTTGTGTCTTTCCTTGTGTTTATGGATCAGCGTGTTCACGTGGGGGACGGGGGTGAACTCAGGACTGATGGTACCAAAGGGTCCATGTGTGCAGTCCCAGGCAGATTTGAGAACTCACTGGCCCCGTGCCTATCTGTGGGCATATGTACAAGAGGATCGTGTTCCCTGTCTTGTTCCCCTGCCCCAGCCTTATAGGAGGACCCTCCTCTTTGAAAAACAGAGGGCTACCCTATAAAGAACAAGGAGCCGGTTCTGGCCCGGCTAGGTCGTCCATAGATGCATCATTCTGGGCACCGTGCCAGCCAGAGGCAACTTGGGGAGGCACATGTCATGAGCAGTAGAGATGGCAGTGACAGGCTCTTCCAGCAGGACCATGCCTGGGCCCGGGAGGCGGGGGGGGGCGGCGCGGAGAAGGGGAGCAGGCAGAAAGCAGACGCCAGCCTTTAGCTTTCGCTAAAGCTGCAGACACGGCAGCGTGGCGTGCGGGAGCCGAGGACGAGCCTGATCCCACCTCCATACCCCGGTGTTCTGGCACATCGCACACTGTCCTCTTTTCTATGTGAGCAAGGAAATAGGAAGGAATCTCAATCGGCCGAGGCTGCCCCGCCCTGGGACCACAGCGCCAGACCACATGAAAGCTCTGGGAGGGGAAGGACCAGGGGAGGACCCAGAAAGCCACACAGCTCAGGGCCCAGGCTGTCTAGACAGTAGGTCCCCATCCACTCCCAGCATTCACTGCCAGCCCAGTCTCCACGTCTCCTTCCCTCCCTAAGCCCCTCATTGGTGGGTAGGGGCTTGTGTGAAGGCCAGAAGAGGGGGGGCTCCCCGGAATGTGGCCGGGGGGAGCTGGGCTTCCTGGGTAATCCAGCTATCTCCCTCTGGGATCCAGGACACTGAGCCTCTTCCTCTCCCACCCAATTATCAGTTATCCCTTCTGTAAAATGGGAGTGAAGCTTCCAGCCATCCTCTGCTATAAGATAAAGATCAAAAGAAGGAGAGAAAAAGCAAAGGCTTCTAGCTGCTCCCTTCTTCGCGCCTGCCTCCTGCCCTATTTCTCACTGGCGGGCATCCTCCGTGTCTGTCTGGGTCTGTCCAGCTGGCTGTCACAGTTTCCAGACCGATGAATCATTCTTCCTGAGATTTTTTTCTTAAAGCCTTCCCCTATTTTGCATTTAACCCTATACGGGTCTTCCATTTTCCTTCAGAAGGGGAGTGAGATACACGTGCGCGTGTGAGCGTGGGGTATGGCAGTGCGGGTAGGTGCTTGGCAAGGGTGGAGAAATCCTTTCTTTCTCTAAGGAGGTTGGCTTTTGATTTCAGAGTCTCTCCAGCGACTGAGTGAAAGGATGTCTGTGCCTGAATGAGTGTGTAACTAAGAGGGGTATTATGTGGGTGAGAATAAGCGTGTATGAGAGACAGGGTGTGTTCGGCTGGGGTGTTTGTGTGACTCGGTGTGCACAGCCAAGGCGGTGTCTGTGTGACTGGGCAAGTGTTGGTGTGTATCGGAGAACGTGTGTGAGGCGTGTGAGCTCTGAGCATATAGGGTGCGTCTGAGAGAAAACACCTTGTGTCCCTTAAGGTTCTGGTGTCCAGAGGGCGGGTCTCTGGAACAAGAGGAACTGTCTGGGGCCCGGGCTGGGGGGTGGGTACTTGCCTGGCCCAGAAGCCCAGCCGGCCCCTGGGGGATCCAGAGACAGGTGGCACTGGGTTTTCCAGATGGGAAGGTGCCTCACTGGGGTGGGAGAGCTCTTCGGAAGACCAGCACAACTGGTGGTGGTGGTTGGGAGGAGATGGGGTTGGCTTCCGGAGCCCCAGGGCGGTGGGCTGGCTTGGAAGGGGCAGTGCCTTGGTCCAGCCTGGGTGGTGGGGTGAGCTGAGCTGAGCTGCTGGGAGTGTGGAGAGCAGGGTGGTGTTTAGGTTGGAGAGGGGAGAGGGGCTCAGTGCTGCTCACATTGCACAGAGCACCGCCTAGGCCTGAACGCCCAGCCCCGGAGTGATTTTGTCACAGTGCCCGCAGGGAGGGCCGGAGCTGGAACCTAGTGACCTAGCTGGAGCCCTGGGAGCCATGGAATGTCAGAGCCCAACCTTTGCTGTCAGTGAGGACAGCCTCCTCATTCTGTAGGTAAGGGATCTGAGGCCAGGGGGTGTGACTGGCCCAAGGTGACCAGCCAGCCGGGCTTGAGGCTGGCCCCTTCCGGGGCCTCCAGGGCTCTCAGTGAGACCCGGCTTCTCACCCCTGCCTCCCGACGCTTCACCCTCTGGCCGCTACTTAGCCTTACCTTTCCTTCCGTCAACTCCCCCCGCACCTTTCCTCCCCGTCTCACGTCTGCTCCTGCCCCCCGGACTCGGAGTCCCCGGTCGGTCGGCTGGCCGCCCGCATCCTCCCGCCCCGCCCTCTCCATCCCGCTCCCCTCGCCTCTCCTCCATCACTTCCTCTTCCCCTCCTCCTCTCCTTTGTCCCTCCCTCCCTGGCTCCCTTCCCCCGCCGGTGGCCGGCCCGCCCCTCCCCGGGCCCTGGCGGCTGCTGGCTGCCTGGCGGCTAGCTGCTCCGAGCCCGGAGCCCGCGGCAGGAGGTCAGCCCGCGCCCCCTCGCAGGCCCGGGGCGGGCGGGGAGCCTGGAGGGCCCGAGCTAGCGGGGGCCGGCGCTGCAGAGGTCCGGGCTCGGCGGTGAGTCCTCCGCCCGGCCGGCCGCAGCTCCCGGGCAGCGGGCGCCGAGGGGCTGGGGCGGGGGG